GCAGTGAGCGAGCGGCTGGGTTTGGCTGCGGGCCCAGTGCAGCCACCACAACACGTAGGCAGGTGGAAAAAGCACATACAGTATGAAGCACTCAGGACAAGAAACAGAACATTTCCCATTAAAAAAAGTAATTTAGTTAAAACCAGAATGAATTCTTTCATCATACAGAGACTTCACCAAAGGTTACCACTAGCGCACATTTTCTTCAATAACATTCACTGATGTTTGAACAAGCAAAGAGGAGTCCTGTTTAAAAACCAGGAGAACCAGAGCACCAGGCAGATAAACCCTGGGCAGTTCCCAGCTTGAAGAGGGTTCAGTGACAGAGGCCACAGGACGGTGCCCACACAAGTCCTGCCTTGAACTGGAGCACAAAAGTGAACTGATTTCGTACGCTCCCAGCAGACGAGTTTTACAAACACACAGTGACACAGCGGTGAGACCAGCAAAGCCCAGGGTCAGGGAGGAAGTGAGGAGCTTATAAAGGTGGGAAAAACAGGGCTAAGCAAAGAGAAAGGCAAAAAGGGATAATTAAAGCAATTTTGTAAATGTGTAACAAAGCAAAACCCTCTTCTGAAAACCAAGAGATAATTAAGAAAAAAAAGAAAAGGAGTTCAGTTATTCTTTGCAGGCACTGACTCCAAAGTGCCAGAATGCAAATGCATTCCCATGCTTGGTGTGAAATCAGTGTTTTCCTCTGCAATATTTAATCTCATTTATCAAGCTTCTTAGTACAAATTAAGTTACAAGGTAATCAATTAGATTGAAAACACAACTTGTTTCATTGTTTTAATTTTGCACTGTAAGCATATTCACCCCAATTTAACAATTAGCTAATCAAAAACCATGAAGTGTTTGTGTAGCTCGGCTTTTTCTCATTCAAATTCCTTTCCTGGATCATTGCAGATGCATCAGCCTGCGGAGTCCCAGCTGCAATCTGAAAAACCTGGCAGCAAACACGCGCGGGGAAGGAAGACGAGAACACGGAGAAACCACAACGTGGTGCTGGGGTTTGGAAAAGGAAAGGAGGACTCTGGAAACCTGGGCTCTTTTCCAGATAGAGAAACCGCCTGAGGGACTGCAGCCTGTTTCCTCCCAGGATCCTCCTAGGTTTCATCCTAGGATGCCTTCTAGGAGGAGTTCTGCAGAAGTAGGATGAGTGCAGAGGGGGTCTCTCAAGTGAGACATCACTGCCTGATGGGCAAGAGAATAGAACGGGGTGGGTTGATTTGTTTTCTTTTGTTTTGTTTTTTTAATTGCTTTAGCCAACCTCTATGATTTACATATATTTTACACTGATTTAGATATATTATACAGTGATTTAGATTTAACATATTATTCACTGAAGTATTTAAAAGACAAGCAGATGTGGCATTTCAGGACACAGTTTAGTGGGCATGGTGGCATTGGGTTGATGGTTGGACTGGATGATCTTAGAGGACTCTTCCAACCTCTATGATTCTATGATTTAGATATAACATTAATATAATACAATACAATATAATATAATACTTATACACAAAACAGCCCAGTAACTGACAGAGGTCCCTTCAGTGCTCTGCCTGACTGCAGGAAGGGAATAACTAGATAACATTATGAGCTCTAGCTGTATGTTTGTTACTTTATCTCTCCAGAAAGGGAAGCAATAAAAACCTGATGGCTGACCAGTGAGGACAGGTTGTCATTAAAATAGCTGTGAATTGGTTTATTTGCTACTGTCCAACAACAACCAACTGGAGCACAGAAATGAGGTTTTTTTCCCCTGGAAATACACTTCCTTACAACAGTCAAGACAAAATTTGCTACGTAAAATGGAAGCTTGCAAAAATAACTCTCATCTCCATAGCAATATCCTTGCATTAACTTTATGAGCACCCAATAAATACATCTGCAGTGCTAGGGAATGGAGCTGAAATGGGCTTTTCCCCCATCCCCAAACACAAAGGCCTGGTTCTATCTGCAGGTGTAACATGTCTAAAAAGGATACACTGGGAAATCCAAATTAATGGAAGGCTATATTGCAATTGATTTTGTGGTCAAAAGAATTCTGCTGTACTTGCAGAGAGCAAGAAAAGACTATCTGTTTTACACATGGGTGTGAATTCAGCAGAATTACATGTCTAGAATGAGAGAGAAAGAGAGTCCACTCAGCTGCTCACATAAAAAGCCAGGAAGCAAGAAGATATAAACAGATGGTCTTGAGATTTTCCAATTACAAACCTTTTTGGCAATATACAGCTGGAGGAATTCCAAACATTTGTCACTTTGACACTGCTTCACAGTAAGTAATGGGATTTTGGTACTTACAAATTCTGAAACATGCTGCAATCTGAAGACCAAAACCAGATCTTTAAATCAAAACTATCACTCAAGGAGTTAAAGTCACATTTTAGAAGAGGTATCAACCTAACAGAAGCACCTCAAAAGGCGTAAGGAAAACTATTTTTAATTTGATGCCTATTCATAGGTTCACTAAGATTCTGTATCAGAGCCAGAAGATATAAGCGACTTTGAGGAGGCTGAGCACGCTCACACTGCTGCTGACACTGTAAAACTGAAGCCCACCATGAGGAGAAGAGGCAGACTGCTCAACACAACATCCCACACGGTGAAGAAATCCTCCCTTTCTCGAGGGACCACTACCCGTCAGCTTTTGTCTTGGCTTGCAAGAAGACTGCAAACAAAAGAACTCTGATTTATGATTCTATGATCCCTTTTTTTGTTTTGTTTTGTTTAAATTTCTTTAAAAGAACTGCAGTTCTTTAAACATTCAGTGCTCCAGGAGATCTTACGTTATCATTTGCAAGTCTTATGCTTGGTAGGTTATTAAAAAGGGATTAGTCAGCACTGGGGTGCACAAGAGAGGTATAAATAGAATTAATTGAGTGGGCACCTCACATCGGAGCTCAGAGCAGCGTGCATGCCTGCACTTTCCTAAAACAAGAGCTAGCTTTAAAATCTGGGCAATTGCAGCTTTTGGAGCTCTTAGATTTAGCTGTGCTCCACCTTGACCTACCACCAAAATTGCAAGCTGGGGCCTGAGCTAGTAATTCCACAAAGCAGTAACCACTGAGGCACAAATCTTCCATTTTGGAAGGTGGGAGGGGGAAATCCCTCTTTCCTGGGTTTTTAGGGAATTAAAAAATAAGAATTAACATACAGTACGTACTTTATGTTATACCTATATAGTACTGAGCAGCATAGCTGCTCCAGGTCCTCATTTTACATGAGGTAATTTAACTATGTAATGACATGCTCAATTCAACATCTATAGGTTCCCCAACCTTCATACCAAAGTGCACTACAGAATTGTATCACACTCAAAAGAGCAACCTGGGTACAGAACCACATACTCTCCACCCTCATTTGAATTATTCTTTCAGGTTATTCCAATGTGGAAATTTTATTAAAGAGAGCTATAAAAACCTTTGGGTCACATAATAACAGCTAAAGAAAACAGAGGAACAGAGTGGGCATCCATTTCATTCTGCACAGCGATGTGGAGGCTTCCATACCCAAATTTCTTTCAGAATCTGAATTTTAGCTCAAGTTTCCAAATTATCCTACTTCATGCAAAACAGCGAAAAAATGAATTTTAAATTTATTATGGCAATGATAAAACTAAAAATATGTACGAGAAGACACAGTCCTCACCACTCAACACAAACCAGTCCTGAGGAATCTTCCCAAAACCAGAGCCAACACTTTCTAACATAACCCAAATCATGGCTATAACTTCAAAAATCGCCATCCATACAAACAAGAAACAGGAAGAGCTGCTAGGGTTCATTAGACTGCTGGGAAGTCACCCAAAATAGGACTTCACCCAATGACGTGAATCTTTTATTTGAGAAACCTGCTTTCAAATCCAGAAAATAAAACCTGTGCTTACTTGTTATTGGTGGGTCCTGTTGCCAAGACATCCGATTGCAACTTTGGGAAAAACCCTTGTTCGTATTTCCCTTGGCCGATCTTCATATCGAGCAAGTGGGGGTGGATGGCCGTGTGATCGATCTTCATCAGCCGCTGCTCGATGGACTGGGCTGCAAGTTACAGTCACAGGTCAGCAACCACGTTAGGGAACCGCCTGAAGACACGCGCTGTGACAACCAGAGCGGTCATACTCGGACCTCTGGAGACGCTCCAAGAAGTTAAAATGGTGACTTTAGACCCATAAATACATTGGTCACGGAAGCGACGAAACATCCGTGCTGTTATTTTGTTATTTTGCTTCTAGTTTCCTCATCCAACACAACGAGCACTGGCGCAAGCACGTTAGCTGTTAAGGAAGCGGGTGTTTACAGGAGCCTACAAGGTGGGTTATGAATCCCAGACTTGCCTAGATTGGAAAAGACCTTTAAGATCATCGAGTCCAATCAACGAATTGGCAAGAGCAGTGCAGTGCAATCTTCCCCCTGCTCCTTTGGACTGAGACCTCTGAGGCCAGCTGCAGCCCTCCATGGGGTTTGGCATCTCGCTTTGCCCCGGACACGTCTCCTTGGGCAGACACACGGGGCACGATACACAGGTTTTGCAAACATCTGGCACCTCTCATGATCCTCCTCCTGAAATCAGATAGGCCATGACTGGGTGACAGGTCTTTAAAAAGCACAGGGAACTGCAGCAAGGCCTGAGGAGCATCAGGAAGATGAAGAGATGCTTGAAAACAGGGGAGGTTATGACAGACTGGAGAGGGCTCCCTGGGAATCTCTGCTCCGTCGGGACTAACGCGGTTCAGTCGTTTGCTTCAAGGACTCGAGGATTTCATCTCAGATCTTGAGCAGGATGAAAATAAAACCCGTCACCCTCTCAACCCTGAGTCAGCTGCACTGGGAAGGAGAGGGGAAAGGAGGTGTATGGGGGGAATCAGCATCTCATTAGCAGCTTTAATATTCAGCTCTTTATAGCCCATCCGTTCACGGGCAGGCTTGTTCTTCTCAGCATACCATGACTAGTGGATATATATGCAAAATGTGAAAGCTCAATCCATTTTCTGTGTCTCAAGAACAACACAGAACTCACTTCCTATTTTATACAACTGTGAGAGGAAAAAAATTGTCCTAAGATTTACATACATTATCATTAAAAACTCAGCAGCTTTTTTTCCCCTTCCAAAAAAAAAAAAAAGAAAAAGAAAAAAAAATGCTTCTTAAAGTTTTATTTTGGAGAAAAGGACTGGGCAGTGTGGGATCTGAGGGTTTGAAAGGTTCTGAAAATAGGAGGTTAAACAAACAGGTGCTGGATGGGTGCTAGGGTCACAAATATTGTGAATGGTAAATACAAAGGGAAGCTGGCATTACTGTCCGTTTGCTGCTTTTCACATGACAGAAAATGAGGTTCCGGTGCCACAATATCTACCAAAACCAGACGCTGAATAGACAGTCGACCTGCAAATTAAAATTGGTTTTAAATAGAAAAAGTTAACGCAGACACGGGATTTCTATTTCTGCCGCATTTGTAACAAGTAAAACACTCTGAAGGAATTAAACAAACAAACTAAAAAAAACCCCCATGAGAAATGTCTTTGCCCCAGTTCATTAACATTCGTCTCACCAAATTTAAGAGTGTAATTTCCTTGTATTAGTTGGAAATGGAATAAATACTTGCACAGTAAGAAACTCAAGGATAATTTAAAAATGCATCCTGTGACTGTAAAGGAAAAAAAATCCAAATCTTCAGTACACAGGGTATTGTCCATTCACACTGGAGCATCTATCACTGGAGCTACTAAATACGTCACACAGGAGTAGGTCCCCAGCATCCCCCACTGCTCTAACAAATGGCATAAGGCAAAAAAAACCCCAAAATACATCTTTTTATGGAAAGTGGGAGATGAGGCCAGTGGAGCAGACAGCAGGTCTTGGCTCCTTGTCATGGCTGGCGCTGGTCCCACCAGCACCGTGAAGGAAAGCTCTCCTAGCAATGGACCAGGACCTGCCTGAGAGGAGAAACAGTGAGCCCAGCTCTGGGGTTTGGGTTGTGTTGATTAAAGGCACCAGCCTAGGAGAGCTCGAGGGGAAAGTGAAGGGTTTTTAGCATTGAAAAGCACACTGAAAGGAAAATACGGACACTGCAGAGTCCTTCTCAGGTAGCTTCCAACAATCAGGTGACTGAGGACCTCTATTTCTTTGTGGCTGACACTGTACTTTTGAATATTTAACTAGCCCATCTGAACATACCTGCTTCTTTCAAAGTGCTGCATTTCTGATAGTTGGATGTCCGCAGCGCAGGGGCCCTCACGTTATACAGCCTGATCTTCTCAATCCGAGAGTCAAAAACTCGCAGAAGAGGGTCCTTTTCTTCCCACTGGGAGATTATCTTATTGTCTATGAAGGTTGCAAACATCTGTGTTTCGATGAAGTGGGAAAGGAATGGGAGGTAAGGCTCAGGTTGGTCCGAAAGGAAGGAAGCCTGAAATACAGAACAGCCTGTTAGTGCCGCGTTCCCTCCCGCCTGGTGTTGACACTACGAGCCGTTCTGAGCCACAGAACCGATCCAACAGCCAACGGGAAGGCTTGGACAAGGCTTCCCCACCACAAAAACACCTCTCAGAGAGGTGTGCAGCCATCACAGGTCACCTCTTTGGTCATGACTTTTGTCAGAAGTAAGCAGTGCAGGAGGCTTCATGAGAGCCAGAGCAAAGGGGATATGGAGTTATCCAAGGAACGCCCGTGCTGGCAGCTTTCTCAAAGCAGCCTCAAAGCTCCCACCCGCAGGAATGAGCCCTCTGGGCAACCTGAAGGAGATCACGGCCACGTCTGCCCACTGAGATCCCTGCTTGGGACCAGATCACTTATTCAGCTGTCATACATATCAAGGGCTGTGATAGTTTCACTGGACCAGCCCTCTCTGAGGCTCGAACTCAGGACACTCAGATTATGAGACTGTCCAAACCAGGACAAGGGCTCTTCAGCTAATGCTCTTTTGTGATTCAATTAATCATGAATTTTGAATTAAAACTTGAGCGTGTGCCGTGCTTAAGTTTCTAACTGAGCTTTGAAAACCCCAACCTTAACAGCCCACGTTATTGCAGAAGGACTAGCAGAGGTCACCTCAACAACCCCCTCCTTTGAATGCCATGCTGTTAAATGCCTGAATACAAACAAGACCTATAAAAGGCATGGCAGTTTTGTATTTTTATTTTTTTTTAATCAAAACCTGACTCAAATCAATATTTAGTCTGCTCCTGACTGTTTATCCCTCTAACATTCTTCTTGGAGAAGGACTTGCACCTAAAAAAGCTGATGGCTAGTAGTGCTATCTACTTCGCAAAGTCACTCAGAAATAACAACTGTGCAAGCTTCCAAGTATTTCTCATTGCTTTTGCTGGCCCTCAAGTCTCTTTATTTCCCCACTTCTATCTCTGTTTCCTTTTCACCCTCATATACACACTACAAGGGAGTCATAACAGTGTTGTTCTGCCATAACCATGGGACAACCTTCTACAGAACAACACGACCCATTGATAAAAAGCTCTACTGTGAAATTTGAAAACAAGAAAGACTAGATGCAGGTTTTTTTGTTCAGTGGATGCACCTCTCCTCTCAGCAAAGAAAAAAAGAAAGGAAGAAAAAAAAAGTCACTTTCCATTGCTACCCTTCCACCCAACCCAGAGGAGAAGCCCCATCAGCTGGGCAGAAGCCTGCCAGCTTGGCTCGTACAAGCTCTGATGGGCTCGGTGGATCTGCCCCAATTTCCTTTGGCGGGAGATCCAGCCCCGTGTAATCAAAACGGACAAATCTCTGAGCGAGGTGGATGAAGAGCGGCAGATTAACGAGTACCCAGGCTATCTACACATCACAGAGCCAGCCTCCCTCCCTCTCAAAAGCACTTTTAGAGGGGAAAATGAATCCAGGGCTATCTTTACTTTGTCAAAGTTCTGCATTTGTTCCCTGTTTGTCAGCCACGACTCCATATCAGGGGCAGCCTGAATGACAAAAGCTTCGTAGTCTGCAAACATCTGCGTGAAGCGGTTGGCAAAAACCTCGCGAAGCTGCACGTTCAGTTTGTAATCCCTCAGCTCCAGCTCCTCACACGGCAACTTCCCATCCTTCTCCTTCTCCGTGAGGGTGGTGGTGATGGTCATCTTCTCCATCGTCACGCCCGTTCTCTTGGCCAGGGCTTGCAGGCGGGCGATCGTCTCGTTGCCCTTCAGCAGCTCGTACATGTTGAGGGCATTGCCGGGGATGTTCCCGTTCTTCTTGTCGTTCACCAAGTCACTAAGAACCAGGTTCTTGAGTTTGGTGGCACTGTCGCTGCAGTGCAGGTTACCCTCTGGTGGGATCCCAAACTGCAGGAGAACCTCGGAGATTTCCTGGATAAACTCCAGCTTGTTGGGGAACTGGGGGAACTCCTCTGGCAGTTCAATAAAATGGTTATCGATGTCTACGAAGCACAGGTTTGCCTGAAATAAAAAGAAAAGTTTCAAAATGGGCATTCAGCACTGACTTGGCTCCTCTGCTCAGCAGCCCCATTTCCCCAGGGTGCTGCCAGACAAAAGGTAAGAGCACACATATGCAGGAGCCTAAAGCTGCGTGAGACACAGCCTGGGACATCTCAGGCTGCAGTAAAGCTGGAGGCCAAATGGATGGCAATGATTTAATGAATAAATTAAATTGGGACATTGGTTGGTAGCTGGCTGAACATGAGTCAGTAGAGTGCCCAGGTGGCCAAGAAGGCCAAGGGCATCCTGGCCTGGATCAGCACCAGTGTGGCCAGTAGGAACAGGGAAATTCTCTTCCCCCTGCACTGGGCACTGGTGAGGCTGCAGCTGGAGTGCTGGGTTCAGTGTTGGGCCCCTGACTCCAAGAAGGACATGGAGGTGCTGGAGCGTGTCCAGAGAAGGGAACGGAGCTGGGGAAGGGTCTGGAGCACAAGTGTGCTGAGTTCCCTTGTGGCTGAGGGAACTGGGGGTGTTGAGCCTGGAGAAAAGGAGGCTGAGGGGAGACCTTGTGGCTCTGTGCAAGTCCCTTGGAGGAGGGTGGAGAGAGGTGGGGGTGGGTCTGTTCAACCAAGGCCCAAGGGACAGGACAAGAGGAAATGGGCTCCAGTTGTGGCCAGGGCAGTTGAGATGGGATGTGAGGGAGAATTTCTTTGCTGCAAGGGTTCTGAGGCATTGGAAGGGGTTGCCCAGGGCAGTGGTGGAGTCCCCATCCCTGGAGGGATTGAAGAGTCGTGTAGACATAGTGCTGAGGGACATGGGTTAGTTGGGGACTTGTCAGCGTTGGGTTCATGGTTGGACTCGATGATCTTAAAGATCTTTTTCAACCACTACGATTCTGTGACAGATAAAGCCTCTTGCCCCCTCCTCTTCTCCTGGGACTTGCAGATCCCAAACTTCCCACTACAAAGATTTGATACCTGCCAGACCAGTCAAGGACACACAGCAGGTAGAATATGCAGCACCACTTCTCAGCCCACGTAAATACTATTTGTGTGAATTCCTGCACCTCAAGGACACGTTTATTTTACCAGGATCCAACTGCAAGAAGCCTCTGTAGCTGTGCTACCAAGGAACGAGATGTTCAGTGAGAACGATGACGCTGCTACAACCAAAGCTACAAAAGAGGGTCCCATGCAAATCCTTTAGGATCACATCTGAGTAGAGCTTGTCCACTGGGGGTCAAGCCCTATTTCTCCACTCTCCCCTACCCCCTGCTTCCATGGAGACTTTTAATCTCGGCAATTCCTCCGCCCCAGATTTAAACAGAGTGCTCTTAGACAGCTTTGCTGCGCATGAGGGTGGATCTCAGCCCATAGGATTAAAGATAAGTGAAGACATCAATCTAGCAGAGCCGAGACTTTTACTAGGAATGTGTCAACTCGGGGATGGAAGATCCTTACATAAAAATTAATTACACTGCAAATGCACCCTGAGGAATAACAGCAGAATGAAAAACAGTAATTGATCTTCTAAGCTGCAGCTTACATCTGAAACCTCTGTCTGAGTGCACTGTGATGACTAAAATCTGAAACCAGGTCAGATTCCCAAGGTGCTGAGCTCCAAAGGGTTCCACACTGGCATAAAGCTGCAGAACAAGACATGCAGGAACCCACGGGGCAGCAGCAGGTCTTTGTTAGCCTGACCTGGCCACCAGCACAGCTCCTCTGTCTTCTCCAAGGCACCTGCACTGTTCCTGACTTCTCATTAAACACTTTAGACCAATCTTTAGATTCTGTGAACAGAAAGCACTTATCTTCCCCCTTTTTAATTTTCATCAGGACAATACATTCCACAGCAAACTTTATTATAATATATCAGATATGTCAGGGACATGCTTGAGACTAATCACCTTTCACACAGATACCTTGAAGAGTATTGGATTCATTTGGTAAAGCAGAAGCGTCCCTTCCGCTCACTTTTTCCATAATAAATTTGGACTGCACAAAGCAAAGCATTTCTTTATCCAAAACAATTTGCTTTACTTAACCATACAGTTATTAAAGAGTTGTGGTATGCATCAGTATGGTTCTTTAGCTCAGGGCCTGTCTTCTTATCTATCAATATTTCATTTCAAAGGCTTTTTAATTTAAGCTCTGCATATCATTTACAAAATTTGAAAAATGAGATTTGGATTTAGAAAACCCTTGGGGGAATTGGGCTCACTTCTCTCTTCAAAAACCATCTGATGATTGAAGTTAATTCAGAGAGATTAGTAACCTTCAGACAGCACGATGGCCAGTTGTCAGCCTTTTTCTCTCTAACAAACAAATGGTTTATATTTAGACCAAGGGCTTAACAAGCTAGCTCCTGGCCTGAACAACAAATGAATACTGAAGCCAACGGCACTTCATCACCGCTCACACGTGGCAGGATTTTTCTACGTTGCATTGTCTAGAAGCATTTGAGATTCAAGATCTTCCCTGTTCAATACTCCTTCTTTCTTTCCCTCTCCTACAGTTCCTGGACTTGTGGTGTTCATAAATGCTGGGCTGATATTTTTCACTCATTCCTTAAACTTTGGAACAGGAGGAGGTTCCACTCCGAGATTACTCTTCCCTCACTGGCAATATTTGTTATTCAAGCCATACTGCAAGCCCATCACATTAAAATTTTAATTTAAGCAAAATGACAGCTTAATCTGCTAACTAAAAGCACATGACTAATGATTTTTTAGAATCACAGTAATTATGTAATATTAGCATGGTTTCACTGAAAAGCGTAGCGAGATACCAGCTTCGTTTCCAGGCCAATGCAAATTTCATGTAATTGGGCCACTGGTATCCATGAGGTGAGACTTGATTTCCCACCAAGGTTAAGGATCAGTCACTTCATCGGGAAATGCTGCAGCCACACCAACAGTTATTCTTAGGGTTCCCACTGATTTTAAGAAGAAACCTGAGTTAAAATGCATGGCATGCTCGAGAGGTGGATCCAATCACCATCTTGAATGCAGACAGGTTAGCAATATCCCAAATAATATGGCAGTGTAGAGAGTGATCAGCAGCCAGGTTAAAATGTGAAGCAGTTTTAATCACCTTGGTCAAATTTTGAGGTAAGAAGTCTCCATTTCACTCCCTACCACCAGAGATTGTAACACCTAGATTAGGAAGATGACCCTTCCTTCCTTTTTTCCTCTGGGGAAAAAAGTGATAGACCAGGAAAAGTCTTCACTTCCCATTACATGGGAGGACAGAAGACCTTCAGTTCAAAAGGCCATAACTGGAGTGAGTCAATATTTTAGCCTCTAAGTGGTTCTCAGGCACGGTATGAACACAAACCTGGCTTCTTTAAGGCCAAGATGCCCGTCAATATATTTTGACCCAGTCAGGAACATGCGGGCTCACCCGTGGGTAAGATTAAGCTGGCAGGACAGGGTACGCTACTCATCAGCAGTGGGGGGACAGGGACAGGTTTACACCATCTTGCAACTGCACCCAAGATCCAGATTCATAAAGACCATCCTCAAATCACAGAATCCCAGAGTTGCCTCGATTAAAGGAAAAGCCCTTTAAGATCGAGTCCAACCATGAACCCAACACTGACAAGTCCCTGACTAACCCATGTCCCTCAGCACTGTGTCTACACCACTCTGAAATCCCTCCAGGGATGGGGACTCCACCACTGCCCTGGGCAACCCCTTCCAATGCCTCAGAACCCTTGCAGCAAAGAAATTCTTCTTCACATCCCATCTCAACTGCCCTGGCCACAACTGGAGCCCATTTCCTCTTGTCCTGTCCCTTGGTCCTTGGTTGAACAGACCCACCCCCACCTCTCTCCACCCTCCTCCAAGGGACTTGCACAGAGCCACAAGGTCTCCCCTCAGCCTCCTTTTCTCCAGGCTCAACAACCCCAGTTCCCTCAGCCGGGAACTCAGCACACTTGTGCTCCAGACCCTTCCCCAGCTCCGTTGCCCTTCTCCGGACACGCTCCAGCAATGAAATGCTCTTTACCCCTCTGTCAACAGGATTGTGACACTGACAAAGAGTAGCAAAACCTGGTGAAGTCTGTGATGCAGGGAAAGTAGAGAAACTTTCAGCATCACAGCAAGAAGCAGAAGCATTTGGAAGTCAATGCAATTAGCAGCACTCATTAAATTGAGAAATGGAGTAAGAAAAGGAAAGCAGATACTTCCTCCACTTCCTCACTCCTGCTGGCAAACAGTCTTCATGGTGCCAGAGAAGCCTCCCAACACCAGGGATGGCATGTCCCAGCTGCTACCCACACCAATGTCAGTAACGGGTTTCAGGGCAGGAACAGCAAAGACAAGAGACTGACCTCCTGAGGCAGCTCCAGCTTGGAGCGGTCGGTTCCCTCCTTGGACTGCAGCCCCATCAGGTAGGGAACGGGAGCATCCAGAAAATGCAGGAGAGAGGCAGGAAGGATGGGGACGTACACGTGCTGCCACTGAAATGGGAACAGCAGCGTCGTGATTCCCTCCGCTACCGTCATCAGACGCTGATAATCTAGACAGAGAGAGACAGACAGACATCGAATCATCTTCCTGTGTTTAGCCTTTGAAATCTGGTTGGCAAGGACATCAGTGACAAGAGAGAATCCATGTTTATATGGGAAGATGTTCTTTTGAAAATAAGAAAGTAGTTAAAAGCCTTAAACATTATGTCATTTGTCCAGACTCATTGCCCCCAGGAAGAAACTGCTGAACATAATTATTCATATCTTATCAAGATCTAGTCCGTCATTAAATTCCTTTATTAAAAGGATACCAAAAGTTCTCTCTAAAGTAGAGGATAAGAATACTCAAACTCTATAAAAACCACCTTTTCTTACACGATAAAAGGAGAGAAAGAAGGGAACTTCAAGGAAACACTGCAGTAAGACTTCCTCGCCTGCTCCTGCCTGCCTGCTTCCTCTCCGCTCATGCCACCCAAGGCTGAGTGTATTTTCCAGGAGACTCGCCTTGGTCACATAGCAGTAGAACTTTACAGTCTCTAAGTATTTAAAAAAACCCATTTTTTAGTAAGTTAAATCCAAACCAAAGCCTAACAGAATTTTATTTCTCAAAAAGATTCTGTACAGTTAGCATTTTCTATTTTATTTATTTATTATTTATATTTTCCCAAATTTGTATTTAATCCACTAGTTTATTGCTTTGCAATGCTTTGGTTCAAGTAAACACATTATTTTTTTTTTAATTAAGATTTAATTTGATCCAGCTGAGCTGCAAGAATATTTCAGAATCTGGATAAGAGCTAATTATTTCTCAAATATCCAGCTGGCACGATGCAACACCACAAGCTATTTATTGATATAAATGAGGGAATCCGAGTTTGAGAATGTAGAGGTTTTTGGGGGTATTTTTAAAGAAAAAAATCACACATTGGTATTAAAGAGATGGTCACCTTACAGCAGATCTCTCAAACTGCCAATTCATCAGGACACAGGTAAAGACCCCCCGGGTGTTGGAAGTTGCTGGTGAATGTGAAACCAGCTGGTTGCTTCTCCTCTGTACCACAGCAGGTTCTGCAGGGCACAGCAGATCCCCCCATCCCTGGAGGGGTTTCAGAGTCGTGTAGACACCATGCTGAGGGACAGGGGTCAGTGGCCATGGTGGTGTTGGGTTGATGGTTGGACTGGATGATCATAAAGGTCTTTTCCAACCTTAACGATTCTGTGATTCTCATTTCCTGACCAAGCCCGGCTGACACCCTGGCAGACATCAGCGGCAGCAAGTGCTGTCATCCAACACTGCTCAGCCATCAGGAGGTCACTGGGCAGATGCACTTGAATAAATATGCAAATTAAAACAACAAATTGCATAATCCATTCTCTTTCTTGCTAGCACCTCTGTGGAAAGCCAGCCCCGATCTGCAGAAGGTCATGTGGCAGGGCAAAACCATTTTTCATCTTGCCATACTAAGAGCAAGTCACTCAGCCTTCCAAATGCTTTCCATGCACACAAGCCAGTCTCGAGGTGACACTCCAGCACCATTCCTCGACACAGACCAGCCATTTACCCATCACTCTCTCTGAAATGCTCTGTAATTAAACACATCCATCGGCTGTCTTGTCGAGGAGCACTTCTACACAACCAATTTACAGCATCTGCTGGTGAAGCTCAGGTGTCTCATGTCACCTCATAACCCTGAAAGCTTTAAAGGTTAAAAAAAAAATAAATTAATCAAATACAGAAAGTAGCATGTCTTAATATTCACAAAATGATTTCAAAGTCTGTTCTGATCTATGGAGCCACGTGAAATAACAGGTCTGCTCAGCAAAGCTGGAAGCATTTTTTTAGATAAGGGCATTCAACTTTGGAAATGTTGAAAAAAAATCTTCTTTGATGCTACTTTTAATATTTAACATAGTCACTAGCACAAGTTTTGTCACTAACTTAATAAGAGGAAAGCTGTTTAAAAAAAAAACCAGCCAGCAATGACCAACTTATTAGGCTAATTGTTACCATTTAGCAATGTTCGTTAGCAATTAGCAGAGATAAAAACAACTCGCACCCAGCAGTTTTCACTGAAGAGATGGAAGTTCCCAGGTTCCTCCAGAAAAATAATTTAAAATAAAATACCTGGAAATTGTTCTTTTGATTATTTGTTTAATGAAGTGAGAAACTCATTACTTTGGATTTCCTTTCAAGCTCTCACAAGGTGAGACACCTATCCTGTAAGGCACAAAGTCTTTGTTGATGGAGAGATCCTGTACCTAACAGCATTTGAGGGACTCTAACGTGGTTTCTGAGGACAACCTGGAAACAAGGGACTCCTACAATTTTCCCAGATCAGAGAGAGAAAAAGGGGCAGCAGAACAGGAAAAAAGGAAGGAAGGACAGAAAGGAGGTGGATGGAAAAAACGGGGTTTATATAGACTGTGGGTACCTTGCACTTGCACCATTCCCTCTTGTCCTGTCCCTTGGTCCTTGGTTGAACAGACCCCCCCCCACCTCTCTCCACCCTCCTCCAAGGGACTTGCACAGAGCCACAAGGTCTCCCCTCAGCCTCCTTTTCTCCAGGCTCAGCACCCCCAGTTCCCTCAGCCACAAGGGAACTCAGCACACTTGTGCTCCAGACCCTTCCCCAGCTCCGTTGCCCTTCTCTGGACACGCTCCATTCCACCCGATTGCTCCAGCTCTCTGCACTGCTATATCCCTCTCTTCCCTTCAGTTTTCATTTCTCCCCACTCCTGACGTGACGATACCTTCTACTACAGTATTTCTTTTGCTTGGCAGCTGTACCTGCATCCTTCACCTTGTCTTCCTGGGACAGAAAACTATCCTGCCTTCTCCAGGATTGGGAACATCATCAGGCACAGCCCCTACAGCAAGTTCTTTGTGTTCACAGTTAAAACTAATTTGTATATAGGACATTTTTTCCAAGAGAAACCGCCCAGGGAGGACAAACTCAAGGCAAAGCGGTCCCTACAGCTTCTGCTACAACTGCTGCCTCCCAACAACTGCTGAGCTGGATTTGGCACGGTCTGTCTCTTACAATTAACTTTCTCCCTAAGTGAAGGGGAAGGCACCAGAGTTGAGTTCAAAGACTCTGGATCCAACCCCTTGTTCTGGCAGCATCTGCCAGGGGCCCTTGGCCACGCTGCTGCATCTCAGTTCCCTCCACAGGACAAGCAGGCAGG